CCAACTCGCTTAACTTCGGAGTTCCTAAGAATACGAAGCCAGTGAGCTCCCAAAAGGCCTCGTGCTAGGAAGAGAAGTGTCCACACATTTAAGCACTTCACCTTTCCCTCCCCGAGCGATGTGGGATTGCTCACCGTTCTTGCTTCCCCAAGACACGGGTGTTACAGTATTGGTTTGGTTGCCGTTGTAGCGTTGTCTTTATTTGCTAGTGTTTGCTTCTTTGAAAATATTTAAATACTAATGATTTAGTAACTAAATAATAATTACAACATAACTACTAATTAAGTAATTAAAAAAAGAAATCCATATTATGCTATTCGACGGTATAGCCAACCGGCTATACTGTTGAAACTTTCTATTCAAAGGGAATAGCCGGCTATACTTTTAAAACTTTCTATTTAAAGGGTGCGGCTATGCAGTATATAGCCGCGTGGTTGTACTGTTGAAATATTCTACTTCTTAAGATTTAAAAGGGCAAGTAAAGTGGTTGACCCATAGCTTTGCACATGTTTGCGATGAAATATGTCAAGCCTAGGCCGTCTTAGATTTAAAATTAAAATGGCAGAGCTCAAATTAAATATGGTGAGCTAATTTGTATCTATCTTGCTCGTGCATAAGCTCAGAAGCAATATTTTCATATCAATTCAAATTATATTATTTATATATATTCATTATACAGGTAGCATTCACGCTGATTCAAATATTATATATAAAGAAGCCCCCTCCAGTAAGTTAACCATTATAGTTTCACTGTTGTGCCAGAAATCAAAGAAGAAGCAGAAGAAAAATGCTAAACCCTCAAGTCTCTTTACCTTATTTTTTTTCATATTTTTCTGATGGTCAAGCAATTCCTTGGCAGCATATGAAAATAAGACCCTGGGACGGCAGTGGGAGTGGGAGATAATATATTTTGATTGTTTATTGTCATTTGTTTATAATCAACCTTCACATTTCAGGATTTTCTTCGTTGTACATGATATCTTCACCGACCATAAAATATAAAGCCTTTGTCGTTGATTGACAATAAGTTGTGGAGAGACGTGAAGTTGCAGATGAATTCTTATTTATCCATTTAATTTAATTGAAAGAAAAAAAAGCCGTGGACGCAGAACTCAGAGGAGTCCTTTTTATTTGAATAAGCCCCACAAATCTGTCCTTAAACAGAGGATTGGTCAATATTGTACGACAAACCCAAAAATAAAATTTAATTGTCCACCAACCATCTGGAGCGCAATAAATTGGATTGATGATACCAAGAATTGAAGACACAAGTTCTAACTAGTTTCGACACCAAAAAAGAAAAGAAAAAAAAAGTTCTTACTAGTTTGTATACAGCACTACTTTTGACGTCAGCAACAAGAAATGGGTTCTTCAATATTGCTCATCTTCTTCATTGCAATTCCTATTATCTTGGACCTTGTTGCTCCTCCTGCCGTAGCTCAAATCGACGACGGTGTGTGCACTTACACAGCTGACTTCTGCTGGAGATGTTCCAATACTGGCACCTACACTGATGGCAGCAGCTACCAACAAAACCTCAACAGCCTCCTCTCCTCCTTCTCCAACAATACACAAATCAATTACGGCTTTTACAATTCATCAAAGGGACAAGACCCCAACAAAGTGAATGCAATTGCATTATGCAGAGGAGATGTGTCCCTCAACGACTGTCACACTTGTGTCAACGAGTCCAGTCTCATCCTCTTCAAGAATTGTTCGAACCAAGATGAAGCGATCATTTGGGCACAGCGTTGCATGGTACGATACTCGAGCAACTTAATATTTGGTGTTGAGAAAGATGAACCTATTAAGTATGTCCCTGGCATAAGTAACGCAATTGACGCCGACCAGTTCACTTCAGTGCTTAATCTCTTCTTGGATACTTTGACTGTGAACGCTTCATTAGGGGATTCTCTTAAGAAGTTCGCAGCTGGACATGTGAACATCCAAGGAAGCACAAAAAATCAATCAATATATGCACTTGTGCAGTGCACTCCAGACATGGACAAGCAAAGCTGCAGCGATTGCCTTAAAGGGGCCGCCTCAAAAATTCCTGACTGTTGTGGCGGAAAGCAAGGAGGCAGAGTTCTTAAACCCAGTTGCAATTTGAGGTTTGAGTCCACTCTGTTCTATGAGTCTACAGCTGATTCGCTTGTAACTCTTCCACCTGTAAAAGGTATGGTACCCCTGCATATATATTTAAACTTAATCAATGCCTTCATTACAATTTACAATTGATTAATTTTTCTTGCAGGAAAGAAGAGCACCATATCAAAAACTGTCATCATCGTCATCATTGTGGTTGTGATTGTTTCTGTCGTTACACTTCTTATTGGCGTATTGATTTTAATAAGAGTGAGGAGACGAAGAGCAAAACTAAAACTTGAAAGTGAGTAGATTGAGATAAAGACACATTTGATTAGTGTTTGATGCATGCATCTTATTCTTATTAGATGTTTTGGAACATGTCCTGACTAATTTGTCCTGTTTCAGATGATAATAATTCGGATGAAATTAGTTTGGTTGAATCTTTGCAATATGACTTCGACACTATAAGATCTGCAACGGATGACTTCTCTGATGCAAATAAGCTTGGACAGGGTGGATTTGGAGCAGTTTACAAGGTAACGAAACACTATCACAAGGAAAAAGATTCATCATGAATGAATTGTTTTGCGTAATTAACTTTTCTAATTTTCTTATAAACCTTTAGGGTAGGCTAGCGAATGGAAGATATATAGCTGTGAAAAGGCTTTCAAAGAATTCTGAACAAGGTGATCGTGAATTCAAAACTGAAGTCACGTTAGTTGCTCAACTTCAGCACCGGAACTTAGTGAGGCTGCTAGGTTTTTGCTTGAAAGCAGGGGAAAGAATCCTCATTTATGAATATGTCCCTAACACAAGCCTTAATCACTTCATTTTTGGTATGTTTGATCTACGTTTTTGTCATAATTCATAATCATTTCTGCCTCGATTTATATTATAGAAAAACATATTAACAAAATCATGTTTCATTTTGATGGAATTGTATTTAGATCCGACTGATCACGCACATTTGGATTGGGAAACACGTTACAAAATCATAGGAGGCATTGCTCGAGGGCTTCTTTACCTTCACGAAGATTCCCGACTTCGAATTATTCACCGTGATCTTAAACCTAGCAACATTCTATTGGATGAAGATATGAATCCTAAAATTGCGGATTTTGGCATGGCAAGATTGTTTATGATGGATCAAACTCAAGGAGATACTAAGACAATTGTGGGAACCTAGTAAGTATCTGCAAATTTCAAAGCTCAATTACATTGTTGTGCTTGTTCACACCATAACTAAATTTTTAATTTGATGAATATAATAATGCAGTGGATATATGGCTCCAGAGTATGCAATTCATGGACGTTTTTCAGTCAAGTCGGACGTCTTTAGTTTTGGCGTGTTAGTTCTTGAAATCTTAAGTGGTAAAAGGATTAGCAGTTTTCAAAACGGCGAGAATGAGGAGGATCTTTTAAGCTATGTGAGTATGAATATAAGGTTTTACATTACCAAACTCTTTTGCTACAAAAAAAAACCTAACAAGAGAAAACAGCATCATTTCTTCTTTAATTAAAGTGTTTATAAACTTGATAGGCCTGGAGGAATTGGAGGGATGATACAGTGGCAAATATCATGGACCCAAAGCTGGCGACAGGTTTAGGAGTTGAAATGATGAGATGCATCCACATTGGTTTGCTATGCGTCCAAGAAAATGTGGCAAGCAGACCATCCATGGCTTCAGTTGTCTCTATGCTTAACAGTCATTCTGTCACACTCTCACTACCCTCCCGACCGGCGTATTATTTGCAATATAACAGTGGATCAGACATAACAGGGTACGATGAATCCAAAAACTCTATGCATGTGTCAGGAAATAAGAATTCAAATTTTACTGAACCATATGCTCGCTAGTGGGGTGGGGCTGAGTAAGTATCAGTTTATTTTCTTTTCTTTGATATGCGTGTTTGATTGATATATTTGAACAACTCCAGCTAAAGTTAAATATTTTCTGTACATAAAGTAAAACCAAATTGTCGTTTAATTGAGAGTCCAAAATAAACTTGACGGGTGAGAAGCTTGGTTCTAGCCTTGAACTGAGGTCTAGCTGCTGCTACGTGGTTCGTGTAATTCTGGCTCAGTTTGCAATCTATCCTCTCTGGTTTCTTTGAAACCAGATCTTGAACAAAAAAAACAAAGTTAAGAGGACCATGGTGATGGTGGATCCAATTTGTTTTGGTTTCGATTTTGATATCAAATGCCAATCAGGACTGGAAACAAATTTTCAACAAAACCCAAATCCAGCCAACCATATAATCAAGCCAACACAAACCACCAATAAATTTTGGATTAATTTGGGTTTGGGTTTGGGTTAGGTTAATGGATTTGGCCCATATTAAAATAAAAAGAAGAACTAGAACCCAATATGACGGGCAATCCCAGCTAGCCCATTCTTTTGCTCCACTAGTGCTTTCAAATTCAATCAGAGACTCTTCTCCTCCAGATCTGCGACTATAAGCTTCCAAGAGATGACGAGAGAGAGAGAGAGAGAGAGAGAGAGAGAGAGAATGAGAGAGCTGCTGTAATTTCAACCCCCGCATATTATAGAAGCTCCCAAGAGATGACAAGAGTTCAGGCACATTCTTTTGCATCAACAGATTTTGGTGGACTGACTTGTCAGACGAATATACCTCGTACTTTACCTTGTTCTTTTTGGTCACATCCATTAGAGTCTGCATTCATCCATTCCATGCAGCTGCCTCTTTTAAAAAAAATATATATATATTTAGAAAAGTCACTGATTAAAGATTTGTTTACTGATTAAAGTCCTTTCCTCTTAACACTTGAAAATGGAAAATATCATATTCATCAAAAAAAAGAAAATGGAAAATATCACACGCTATATGGGATTGGTCAATATCGTACCACAAACGTAAGATCGAATTAAGGGTCAGGAAACCGTCAAGGAACTAATGTCTTTCCTTTATAAGACAAGTTGCTACTTGCGAGTTGAGCAAGAAAAATGGGTTCCTCAAGATCAATGCTTTTCTTCATTAATCTTGCTATTATTATCTTAAACCTTGTTGCTCCCACCATTGCCCAAGATGATGGTATGTGCACAGAAAAAGCTGAGTACTGCTGGAAATGCTCTAATACTGGCACCTACACAGCAGGTGACAAGTACCAAGAGAACCTCAGCAGCCTCCTCTCTTCCTTCTCCTCCAACACCCAAAACAATTCCGGGTTTTACAATTCATCCAGGGGACAAGACTCCAACAAGGTCAATGCAATTGCATTATGCAGAGGAGATCTTTCACAGGACTCTTGTCAGGCTTGTCTCAACAAGTCTACTGATATTCTCTTGCAAAATTGTTCAACTCAAAAGGAAGCAATCATATGGGCAGAGCCTTGTATGGTGAGATACTAAGACAACTTGATATTTGGTATTAAACAAGAGGACCCTCTTGAGTATGTGCCGGGCGCGGCTATACTGTTGAAATATTCTACTTCATAAGGTTTAAAAGGGCAAGTAAAGTGGGTTAAATTTGTGGTACTCTACAATTGCAATATTCAACGGTATAGCCGCGCGGCTATACCCTTTAAATAGAAAGTCTCAAAAGTATAGCCGGCTATCCCCTCTAAATAGAAAGTTTCAACATTATAGCGGCGCGGCTATATAATATGAAGTTCTTTCTGAGTGGTGCTGGTGCTTCTCAAACAAGAAATAAGAATATATAAAAGCTTCGGCTAGAGCTTTTTATTCTCAGAAAGTAGAGCTCTGACCTCTGAGTGGTGCTGGTGCACACACCACCAAGTTAAATCGATGCTTCCAATTAAGTGGAAGACGAAGACGAAGACGAATTAGTGGAAGATGAAGTGGAAGACTAAGACGAAGACGAAGACATGGTTTACCTTAGTGGAAGACGAAGAAGAAGACGCCAGCATATTCTAATTATAGTGCTTGCACTTTTTCTTTTTTCTTTTGAAGCCACTTTGTCTGTGTTCCATGCATGATCATGATCCAGACAGAGAGCCCAATTATACATTTCTTGTTTCTTTCATAGCACATTTTTCAGTTGACCCAGGTAAGCTAGTCGATCGAACGAGGAAAGAAAGCCCATAAGGCCATCTCCAGTCATAGGGCTGAATGTAGTCCAAGACTAAAAATTTAAGTTTTAGTCAAAAAAAAAAATTTCACTTTTGGAAAAAGCCAAAGCTTTTTCAAAAAAGACAGAAAAACCTCTCAACTTTCAAATCAAAGACATGCAAATGTAAAGGATTCCTTAGGAAATCCAAAAATAAATAAGGGCAATTTTGTCCATTTTGGCTTCTTTTACAAAATTATTTAGTTAGTGAATCATTAGTTTCTGAATTTAATATACGTTAATATTAAATTCAATAACGAGAAGCGGACATCAGTATGGCACGAATAACAAAAGGAAACGTATTAGATTCCAACATATCTTGTTCGCCTGGAATGCATTGGCACGTTAGAATCCAATGAAGGAAGCCATCTCATTGGATTGGTGGTCCTCGTGCCAAACATCTTTATTGGCTGCTTTTAGTTTATGAATTTAATTAAAATATTTAATACTAATTATTTACTAAAGAACTAACAATTAAAACATAATTACAAATGAAAGTAACTGAAAAATGATAAGATATTACTTAATTACTTGATGCGAATTTATGATAAATTTTCCAGATTACTTTAGAGTGATATGCACCAATTGGAGTGTCAGATCACAAACTGGATAGCAAATTCAGCTCCTAAGGAAACGTATTAAGTACTAAGAAACTAGTTGATCTCAGCGTGATTGAAATTAAGATTTAGGGCGAGTGCATAATTCACATTTAGCCTTTAATTAATGGAATACAATGATCTTTACTTAATTGTCATCTTCCTCAACGGGGCAAGTCATTAGAAATCGTCAAACCATTGGCTGAGCAATTATGAGCGTTTTCTTGATCATGGTGATCAGTAGATCTTCCTGTAAAGAAGGCTGGTTTCTCAGGTCTGGATAGACTAATGGTTTCACTTTTTAACATTAGAACAACCGATGACATAGTTGGCCTATTGTTTGCATCTTCTTGAACACACAACAATCCAATATGAATGTGTCTCAAAAATTCATTTGGACTGCATAAGTCCTTCAACAACGGATCCATCAACTCCAACCCTTTCGTTTCGTTCCATAACTGCCAAGCCTGAAATTAATACCTTCAAAGATGTAAGTACTACTCTTAAATTGATAGCTACATTGATTAGTTTTTGAGAAACTTTTTGTATAATTTAACCCAAATAAAGACCTTACATAGCCTATAAGAGTAGGTGCATGATTTGTTGGACGAAAGCCTAAAAAGTTTCCTTCTCCCCGTCATGATCTCAAGCAAAACCACTCCGAAGCTAAAGCAATCCGATTTTACCGAATACAATCCCTCCATAGCATATTCTAGAGCCATGTAACCACTAATTGCAAGGCCCAAATAATTGACATGTGAGTTAAAGCCGAAATATAGATTTAAGATTATTAATTAGATAGATGATCGAACTTTACTAGGTGCCAACAATTCTTTTGGTGTTTCTTGAGTTTGATCTTCAACTCCAAACATTCTTGCCATGCCAAAATTTGATATTTTTGGATTCATATTGCCAAAAATCTGATATTCTTGAGATGCGATCTGATTTGTTAACGATTGCAAGTATAGTGACGAAATTGGGAAAATTGAAATCACGGTGACTAAAATTGATTTCGAGCCAAACACAGTGACCAAAATTGTAATTAACCCTAAATTTTAATACATTAGCAATTTTTTCGAGATAAGAATTAAATCAAATGGGATATCTTATCAAAAGCCAAAACCAAGGATCAATCAAATGTATCGATCAAACACGCGTATTAAGAATCACATACACTTCCACAAGACCAAGCAAAAACACAGCAAGCTACAGATAGTAGCTAACCAAAATGAGTTGTTTCAACAGTATAGGTGCCCTGAATATTTCAACAGTATAGCCGTGCGGCTATACCCTAAATAGAAAGTTTCAAAAGTATAGCCGCGCGGCTATACCTTTAAATTGCATAATATGGATTTCTCTTTTTTAATTACTTTAATTTGTAGCTTTGTTTTGATTAATATTTAGTTAGTGAATAATTAGTATTTAAATATTTTATTGAAGAAAAAAATTAATAACTATTTATTAAGTAATATAATTTTAAAAGTGAATTAAAATATTAATACTAATTATTCACTAAAGAAATAATAATTAAAACATATTTACAAATGAAAGTACCTAAAAAATGATAAGTCATTACTTAATTACACCACAAGTAGAATATTTCAAACCTATAGCCACGCGGCTATGCTCTATTAGAGGTATCTTTCACAGGTATAGCCGCTATACGTGCGGCTCTACCTTTCAATAGCGTAATATGGATTTCTCTTTTTTAATTACTTTAATTAATAATTATATTTTAATTACTATTTTGTTAGTGAATAATTAGTATTTAAATATTTTATTAAAAAATTAATTAATATTTATTAAGTAATATAATTTATAAAGTTAATTAAAATATTTAATATTAATTATTCACTAACAAAGTAATAATTAAAACATAATTACAAATGAAAGTGACTAAAAAATGATAAGATATTACTTAATTGCTAAAAAGAAATTTTAAAAAAAAATTTATTGACCTAAAGATACTAAGTTTATATTTATTTTTTATAAACTACATACGATGTCAAAAGTATAGCTGCGCAACTAACTCTAGGGCCAATCGATAGAATCTATGCCGATCACAACACTACCCTGAGGTTACCAATCATTTGAGGGCAGTCAATTGGATACATGACGATCCTAATGTCACCTAAAAGTTGCCAATCCTTTGGGGGAAATCAATAGGATCCATGCTGATCCCAACACTACCCTAAAGTTATCAATCCTCTAGAGTTAGTCAATCGGGCCCATTCTAATTCCAAGATAGTCCTAAGGGAATTGAAGTACACTTAAACTTGCACACATTGTGAGAAACCAAATGGGAAGTAGAATCCTTCTGACCTTATTCAAAAACTCGAAGGTACAAGAAATCATAAGAGGCCATAGGCCGGAGCAAAATAAAACAAACGGATACTACGAAATAGAATATTAGACAACTAACTAGTTGGACTCACCCCACTAGAACTCCAGTGAGGATTGGGAATTGAAACACAACTTATTACTCCCTAACTTAATTTGTCTATCTCAGGAAGTTATCCCAATCAACGAACGAATAATCTGCTTTGGCTTTGTCACAAAAGTAGTTGATCCCTTACTGGAAGTTGTCACGAATCCCCTCAAAGTGAGCAAGAGCCACAACACATTCGGCATATACTAGATCCCTTTTAAGGCGAGTCAAAGTTTCCTTAAGTGAGTCTATTTCCCTCTCCATCTGATAATAACTTGTCCATGGAAAAGTCTCTTTGTCCCTATCAGAGTGCAGGTGACGATGTCTGAAACGTGACGGCCCAGGGTTTTCCCCCATTTAATATGAAGGGCCAGCATCACCTATGTTCAAGCGAGAAGGTCTAGGACCCTCTCTTTCTTTTCTGACACAATCTGGTGAGTCCCCACAACGAATCGAAGGATGTCAGCGCAAAGACAGAAATCAAGTTTTAGCCTACACTTGTGAGTCAAGATATCCAGGTACCTAAAACCCATCCTCAGACCCTTATTTTATAGCGTTAGTCAGAATAGCTCTGTTGGTTCAGATAATTGTGCAGAATTTCAAATTCAAAAAATAGTTTTATTTGAAGAACAGAAACTCCAATCCTATTTTAGTTTTGAAAAAAGATAGTGTTATCCCGATGAACTCAACTAGTAATACAAGATAGGATCGGAATAGATTTGAAACTTGGAATGACCGGACAAATCACATCTAAGAGAACCCATAGCAAAGGTGGTTGTACTTATTTTAGTACTCACCCAGGTAAGACAAGTAAATTAAATATATAATCAGAATAAACCCAAGCTTAGATATCAAAAGGAAGCAAGACAAGTCCAGTTAAGTCATGTAAATCCACATAAGGTTCAATACATAAGGTTCTTCACATGTGGGGGTTCAGTTCTTGGCCGAACCAAATCGGCTAGGTTTCTTGTTTCGCAGACTTTTGGGCAAGCCCAATCATAAGTTTAGTCAAATTTAAACAAAGTACTGGAAATTTAGGGGTAAGTACCAATTTATATATTTTTCCCTCTACCACTCACAAATGACATGGCAAGAGAAAAAAAAGGGCAATGTGGGAGCAAAATAATTTGCTACCAATTCGCCACGTCATGGGATTGGATTTAGGCATAACCCAATACGGGTTTGGATGTGCATTGGCCTAATGCAGGTTCGCATACGCATAAGCCCAATGTGGGTTCACGTGCGCATAAGCCCAATGCGAGTTCAGATGTGCACCATGAAGGGAATATTGTGGGAATGATGTTGTGTAAAGATTTCTAAAAACTATAGAACCAAACTTTGAGAGTATAAATCACCTAGCTTGCCATATCTAATATGAATCAAAGTAAGAGCGGAAGCATTAAATAAACTAGGGATTCATGCAAGTCTCATTTGGTCCCAATCTTTATAAGTCTATGAAAGTGTGCCCCAAAGACTCTCTAAATCCTATTTGAGAGAAAGATAAGATGTTTACACCCTTGGAGCGAATCTTGAAACCAAGAATGGTGTTCAAGTAGAGGGAGTGGTCCCTTTGTTGTTGGCTCTCTAGTTAATGTTGATTTTCCACCTTGTAGCTCTCCAAATAGGTACAAAGATATGCACCTCCCCAAAGCTCTTCAGTAAGGATTGAATAGGATGAGAGAATGAGTAGACAACAAGTGAAGAGTGTTGCTAGCACTCTCACTTGATGTGATAGATTCAAGGGGTTAGGGAGAGAGAACTTGATGTTTTCTCTCTTCCAATTTCACCAACTTGAAAACCCTAAGATGATAAGATTTCATAGCTACACACTTATAGGATCAAAAATGCCTCCAAGCCCTAGTGTAGCCACACCCCCCTTTTGTGTGTCATCTTTTGCTATCTTGGTCCAACACATTAATCCTATAATGTGTCACATATGTGCCTAAGTTTATATCGTCAAATTCCTTTTGAATTTCATATGGGTCCTTTAATTAAAGTTTCATAACTTTAATTGAATAATTAATTAATCTAATCAATTTAATTACTCAAGTGACTTGATTAATTCAATCACTCACTTGTCTAACGAGTGTTGGTCCCAATCATCCTTAGTTGACCGTGTCAAGTATCAGGTCAATTGTTTGACTTTTGACTTTGATCTTTGACTTTCACATTAACTTTGACCAAGTCACAAAATCATTCATTCTCTTCATAATTTCCCAATCAATTCCTTTTCGCTGTGCAATCTTATAGGTTCTAATTAGCAAGGTAATGGGTATGAATGATTCACTCTGAATCAAGTGTGAATTGTATCCCTTCATACAATTCTCCCTATTGGCGAAGGCTAATTATAATTAGTCCTTACAGGGCCTCCACAAGCCATGAGTGACACCTAGCAGTATGTCATGGCTACCCAAGCTAAAAAGAATTCATTTAGAGAACCTAGTCAGTTTGTGATTACAATGCAATTCGATCCTACCAATAGACACGCCTGACAAAGGTCATGTGAGAGGTCTCCTCTGCATAATGCAATTGCATTGACATTGTTGGGGTGTTTTCCCATGAATGAATTGTTTGGGTGTTCGAGCAGAAGGAGGAGAGGAGGCTATTGAGGTTCTCTTGGTACATGTCACCTGGTGTGTAGGTGGCATCATCAGAGCATTTCCAGCAGTACTCAGCTCTTTTTGTGCATAAGGCATCATCATCTTGGGCTATGATGAGAGCAACAAGGTTTAATAGCAAGATTAATGAACAAAATCAATGATCTTGAGCAACCCATTTTTCTTGCTCAATTCACAAGTAACAACTCGTCTCCACTTATAGCTTCAATTGAATAGGTAGAATTTATTGCACCCTTCATAACTTTGAAGAGGCCATGTGGGTCTAGTATAGTGTCGGCTGATATCAGCCACACTTTACATTCCCTATGCTCTACGGCGGGTCTGTACCAAATTAATCCAAAATTTATTGGCTTGTGTTGGCTTGTTTATTTGGTTGGTTGGATTTGGGTTGATTTGGTTTTGTTGAAAATTTGTTTCCAGTTCGGATGATTAGTTTAGTTTGGCATTTGATACCAAAACGAATTCACTCCACCATGTCCCCTAACTTTAATTCTACAAGTACTTTCTTAATTTTAATTTGACCTCCCAAAGAAATGACAACTGGTTTTATGTGGAGAAAACTTTTAACTTCAGCTGCAGTTATTAAAAGATATCAAGGATCTCATACACTTCCACAGCAAGCCATAACGTTGTAATATGGCTGATATATACTCAGCCCCACAAGCAAGCATATGGTTCAGTAAAATTTGAGTCCTTAATTCCTGACACATGCACAGAGCTTTTGATCAAAGTAACTTCTGTTGCCGCTCGAAAATAGAGAACTGCATGAAGATAAACAGCCATAACAGTGAAGCTAGGGTAAGCCATTTTATTAACGATGAACATACCAACTTGAAGCAAGAAGACACCAACTATAATGCTAACGTAGCAAATAAACCAAAATTTAAAGCCTAAATTTGTTACAGAATGGTTGGTACTCAACCATTAGCGAGGATATGGTTCAGTAATATTTGAAGGGTCATTTTCTGTGACATAGACAGAGAGGCTTTTGGATTGGTCTGACTCAGTCAGTGCAGATATGTCTGATCCAGTGTTGTGATGCATATAGAATGCAGGTTGTGAGGGTACTGGAAGTGCGAGAGACTGGCTCTTAAGCATGGATACAACTGAAGCCACGGTTGGCCTGTCCACCACATTCTCTTGCACACACAGTAAACCAATGTGGATGCATCTCATCGTTTCAATTTGTGAACTTGTCGTCAACTCGGGATCTATGATGTTTTGAATTGTATCCTCCCTCCAATTTCTCCAGGCCTATAAAATACATCAATATATTCAAAAAGAAATTTTACCAAGGCAAAACAGAGAATATATAATGACTTTAATGTATTCATACTCACATAGGTTAATAGGTTCTCTTCATTCTCGCCATATTGGAAACTACCAATCTTTTTACCGCTTACAATTTCAAGAACTAACACCCCAAAACTGAAGACATCCGTTTTGACAGAAAAACGACCATGAATTACATACTCAGGAGCCATATATCCACTGCATGAATTATATTCCATCTATTAGACATGCAAGTTTTTTTTGTTTTTCAATGAAGCTTTCTGTTGTAAGGAGAGCTCAATATGAAAGTATAAGTTAGCCATATTATCACAGTACTTACTAGGTTCCCCTAACTGTCTGTGTATCTCCTTGAGTTTGATCAATAACAAACAGTCTTGCCAATCCAAAATCAGCAATTTTGGGGTTCATATCTTCATCTAACAAAATATTGCTGGCTTTGAGATCGCGATGAATAATTCGAACCCGAGAATCTTCATGGAGGTAAAGAATCCCTCGAGCAATGCCTCCTATGATCTTGTAACGTGTTTCCCAATCCAAATGCTCGTGATTGTTTGGGTCTAAATACAATTTCATTAAATGAAATATGAACTTTTTTAATCTTTAAGAAATTACTATAAAATATATGAAATAAAATGTACCAAAAATGAAGTGATCAAGACTTGTGTTAGGTACGTATTCGTAAATGAGAAGCCTTTCATCTGTTTTCAAGCAAAATCCTAGGAGCCTTACTAAATTCCGGTGTTGAAGCTGAGCAAGTAACATGACCTCATTCTTAAATTCTCGATCACCTTGTTCAGAATTTTTGGAGAGCCTTTTCACGGCTATAGGTTTCCCACTTAATAGCCTACCCTGAATGTTTAAAACAGAAAAATAAGGAAACCATACTTAGATTAATAGATTTTTTCTTGTGAAAGCGATTGTTGGGGTCAAGTAATGGAAGTCATGGGATTGATGGAATTGGTGAAGTTCGGAGCTGGAGTTTCCATTCTTTCTTTGCCAGAATATTATTTTTTGTTTTGTTTTTTATACCTATATTTTGATACCTCTTTTATTTGGTTTTTGTAGGAAAAGTTAATTAAAGAGAGCATTATTACCATACTTCCTATATTGTCATCGATTCTGCACTCTTGGAAGAATTTCAAATGAAAATCGACTTTTCGAATGAATTTTAGTGCAAGGCCAATTGTAGAAGAAAGCTAAGATATTGAAGATCATTGTATCAAAGTTTCATAATTTTCTACCAAGCCAAATGCTCCAGACCTGCAAGTCAAGACAGCCTAAGTTGAAATCCCGTCAGAACTGCACTGCTGTGGAAGAGTGAAGATTTGAATATCTTTCCGATTTTTCCTAGTGGTGTGTAATATATGCTTGGAAAGCTTAGAGATAAAGCTACGTTTCTCATATTTTTCCAGAATTTTCTAGGAAGTGGAACAACCCCAAAACGTGCGTGCAAGTTGGCTGACGTGTTTCCAAGTCAAATAAGGATTCTTTCCTAGTTTGTTTCCTTAATTGTTTGGAATTTGGTTTTGCTTTAGGAGAGTTTTTCCAGACCTTTTTAGAGTAGGGTTTAGTTGTTTTACACTATATAAGGTCACCCTAAGTTCTCTCTAGGGAGGATCATCTTTTCCATCATCTTCCTATACACAACTTTCATATAACCAGAAAAATATTAGAGAGAGCCAAGAATTTGCTGCTGCACTACTTGAGGAGCTTTCGAAAGTGGTTGCTGTGGAGAATCCAGAGATCAAATCCATCGGCCAAATCAGTTTTATGACAACAATTCTCTTATTTATCTTTTCTTTTGTCATGAACTAATTTTCCTTGCTAGGGCTACGATGTAGCCTAACCATGAATACTCAATTTTTATAGTTATATTAATTCCTTATTATTATCCCATGTTGAGTATTTGTTACTGTTCTTAATGATTTAAATATCTAGCTAATATTTAATTGATGATCCAAGCGGAGACCGAGAGGAGATGTTTGGTGTTTGCTTCTTGTAACAAATACCATGACTTGAATGAGTGCCCGAGAGGGACTAACATGACTCATGCAGTTTTCTTGTAGGTTCTCATAGAACTTAATGGGTTCTTAGTTTTCTAAATCCGTTGCTCGAGAGAGAATGGGTTGTTAATTGAGAATACTTTTGGTTGAGCCCGAGAGGGGATATCGAATGAATTAGGAGAAACCAACTGTCAACAGGGATAGTAATTAGGGTTAATTGGCTATAAGAATTAAGTAGAATTGGTTATGGTGAAATCGGATGCTCTAGTGTCTCATCATCTTAATTTTCTATCGTTAATTAAATTGTTATTTTTCATAATTAGCTTTCTTGAATCAATCAATCTTCTTAATTAACTGTTCAAATAAACTTCTAAATTAATCATAATTGTTAGTTAATAGGAAATTACAGTCTTCGTAGGAACGACACTCTACTTATTTCTATGTTACTTGTACGAATTGTGCGCTTGCAATAATTTCACAACATTGTGTTACCTTGTAAACAGCTCCGAACCCACCTCGTCCAAGCTTATTTGCGTCCGAGAAGTCATCTGTTGCAGATCTTATAGTTTCAAAATCATATTGCAACGATTCCACCAGACTAACGTCTTCCAAATTCTCATCTGAAAAGGGAAAAATGAATTAGCGAACAGAGTTCCAAAACCTCAGATAAGATAAATAAACAGAGTTGAACTTACCTTGTTCAAGTTTTACCCTTCGTTTCCTTACTCTGAAGAAAAAGCATATGCTGCTGACAATAGTGACAAAAACAACCAAAACCACAACGATGATGATGACAGTTTGTTTTGTGTTACTCTTCTTTTTTGCTGAAAATCAGATGGGATATCTTATCAAAAGCCAAAACCACACCACACAACAGTAAGACATGGATCAAATTGAAGATATGCGGGGTAACCATACTATACCATACATACCTTCTTCAGGTGCTGGTGCTGGCGGAACTGGAGCTGGAATATCTACTAACGAATTGGCTGTAGACCCAAAGAAAAGACTAACCTCATACCTTAAATTGCAGCTGGGTTTAAGAACTCTTCCTCCTTGCTTTCCACCGCAACAGGTTTGAATTTCTGTGACGGACTGTTTAAGGCAACTGCTGCAATTTTGCTTGTCTATGTCTGGAGTGCACTGAGCAAGTGCGTATATTGTTTCACCTCCAGGGACAGTTGCATGGCCTGCTGCAAATTTTTTAAGAGAATCCCCTGACGCAGCTTTTTCACTTAAGATATCCAACAAGGGGCTAAGCACCAGCTCAAACTGTTGGGGATTTTTAGCAGGGTTTGGGCTAGGCACATACTCAAGAGGGTCCTCTTGTTTAATACCAAATATCAAGTTGTCTTAGTATCTCACCATACAAGGCTCTGCCCATATGATTGCTTCCTTTTGAGTTGAACAATTTTGCAAGAGAATATCAGTAGACTTGTTGAGACAAGCCTGACAAGAGTCCTGTGAAAGATCTCCTCTGCATAATGCAATTGCATTGACCTTGTTGGAGTCTTGTCCCCTGGATGAATTGTAAAACCCGGAATTGTTTTGGGTGTTGGAGGAGAAGGAAGAGAGGAGGCTGCTGAGGTTCTCTTGGTACTTGTCACCTGCTGTGTAGGTGCCAGTATTAGAGCATTTCCAGCAGTACTCAGCTTTTTCTGTGCACATACCATCATCTTGGGCAATGGTGGGAGCAACAAGGTTAAAGATAATAATAGCAAGATTAATGAAGAAAAGCATTGATCTTGAGGAACCCATATTTTAAATTGATTAAAATATTAAAAACCAAAAAAAATAAAAATCTCTCTCTCTCTCTCTCTGCGCGTTTTCTCTTTGCAACGATTTCAAAACCCAGCTCTCTCTTCTCCCTGCTCTCTACCCCATGACACCACCACTAGCTCTCTCTCTCTCTCTCTCTCTCTCTCTCTCTCTCTCTCTCTGT